GAGAAGTACATTGCTAGTCTGCTGGCGATACCGTGTGCCTAAAGTTCTGAACTATTGCACAGAAAAAGTTATAAAGTCTGTTCTCTCCCAAAATCCTACTGCCTCCTTCTCTGAAAAAGCCTACTACGTTTCCCTCTCAGAACGCTTCAAAAATGGCCCCTCATCGGTTGCAACTAATCGTGATTTTACTTTCGTTTCCAACGGATCAACGATTTAACGATCGAGTTCAAGGCGCAATGACTTGTAAAGAAGTTTTCGGTCGCATCTGGGTGTTACGTCACAACTCATCAAGTTTTTTTTACTGCGTAATTACTATTGTATCGGGCAATAGGCATGGCACAAGCAGACCAAGGTGAAACGACGACATTCCACGCATATCGCATAGTCGATGCGTGCGTGGTAGCAGTATGGTAGACTAGTTCCTTTTAAGGAAGCTACGCGAATTACTAGCCGTTTTCAACTCCGCACTGGGAGCAGAGATCGGAATTGAGGGCGGAGAACAGGATACTCATTTGGGAGTTCTTGATCTGGAGTCCGTTCCATTTATAAATCAGTTACTGCGATGAGACCAGGAACAAGAAGCTGTCTGCGTAAGCTCGAAACGAGTTTGAGTGCAATCGCAATGATTGTCATGCTTATTCCCTCTTTTCGAGTCCGACAGATTCTCATATAGCGTGGAACCTCTAATTTGCTTGTCAAAGGCGACCAGTGGCTCGCCCTTGAAGGCTGTGATCCACCAATCTCTGACTACGTGTCGCTCCAGAAGGGTTCCTTTTTAGCACTCCTTCGAGGCGATCGTTGCCGTTTGCGATGTAAATGGGTCCGCAGCTGCAGTGGAGTGTCACTTTCCCCCCTCAGAAGTGCACGGAAGGGTTCTCTAGAGGTGCTACCCGAGTGCTGTCTCCATACTGCGCCTGCGCCGCTCTGAGGTGCAGCCCTTGCATTCGATAACCAAGGTCACGCCGCCGCACACACGCTCTCGCGGTCAAGCAGTGATAGAGAGAGCGCAGACCAGTAGCGTGTTTAGTCATGGCTCAGGCTGTGGCTGGCCATTGCGGAGCGCGGACGGAGTATGGAAAGGGCACCTTGGAAGCACTGCTCGCTGGTCCCCTTTCCATGTTTTTTTATCGTAAAAAATGGCTTGCTGTTGCGGCTGTGCACACATACTCCCCATACTCGTCAGGAACCAGGATTCACGGGGATGAGTGTACAGTTCGTCTTTGTGCGTAAAGTTTTGGCTGTTGAAACTTCCACTGAAAATCCATAAAGGCTTTCAAAACGATTTTAAAGGAACCACGAGATGCTCCCCCTCTCTCTCATAATATTTGTTTCTTCTTCTTTGTTACATCGACAAGGTCATTGTTTTTAAAGAATTTGGGTGTGGTTACGTAACTTCCTCGCAGTCGGCGACCTTGTAGTCGATTGCTGTCATGTGAGATGGCGCGGTTTTGATAGGTTGTTTATTTTCTGAAGGCTAACCCGAAAGGAGTTGAATGTTGGACATGCTAAGATAGTGATAGTCTATGAGTCTCATACCGAGGCGGGCTTGGGGCTTGCTGGAGCGTAAAACGCATTGCACGTACTGTGCAGTCTTACCCTGGGGCCAGTCTTAAACCTTACCCTGGGGCCAGAACCTGAGTGTTGTGCAATACGGAGAAGTACCAAAAGTTAATCCAAGATAGCCCTGAAGTCTCAAGGATAGCCACGAGTTGTGAAATTTTCAGTATATTCCGGTGCTTGGCACGTGCCGCGGTATACACCCGGTACTGTATCCCTCACATCAGTCTAGTTGAACTCAACATTCAGTAGCGGGCAATAGTCCGAATGGCTACTGCCAGACTGTGCTGAACTCCAAGCGCTACAGGAAATTTAAGTTTTCCTTGAGCGCTCTTTGCTTGGGTGACGGTAAACTACAGACTTGCACTTGAGCATCCGGCCTTTACGAGCGCGCGGTCGCAACGCGGTTTGGCATTGTGGCGCGCTATCCTTCGGATGGAATAGCATCGAGAGGACAGGGTGCCGAATCTAGTTGCAAAATTAGAATAAAACAAACAAAACTCACCGGGAACTTGCTGAGAAATCCCACAGAAACTGAAAACAACATTGTATGATCTTTTGTAGTCAAGAACAGCGGTCTACAACAAAAAAGCAACAAGTTTAGGGAAAATTTTCGATTGTTCTTTGCACTCTTCAGCGATAACTGCTTTAGCTTTTGAATATAGTGAGGACGATGTTGTATCCATGTACTAAACATAAAAAGAAGAGTCGATGAGCCATCAATGGCCGAGAGCAGCGTGCCTTCCCCCAACTACGTTAGCACCGAGGACAGCTGCAGGAGAGCTCACAGGGAAAACAGTAGAAGATGCGCCATGCGTTAGCAATAAGTTAGTTCTTCGGGGCGCGCTATTACAGGTACCATCTGAATGTTGGGACTAATCCTCGGGACAATGCACTTCACGAAGTGTACACATGTGTCCTCCGCGAAAATCGGGAGAACCGATCTTCGGAAGTATCACCGAAATCAGCGAAAAATTATCATGTGCGGTTCTCATACTCAGATCTGATAAAGTTTCATTAAAAAACCCTTATTTTACGACATTAAACATCAAAACAACATTATTAATATATACAAAACATTATTTTTACAACATTAAACTTGAAACAACAATATTAACATTTATTACAAAACATTACTTCATGACAGCATCATTTTTTCTTTTCTTTTTTTTGCCAACGCCGTTATGCCTGTGTCCATCAGGCTCCTTTCCTTTTGTAGGTCTCCAATGGCCTTGCTCTGGGAGACGGCCCATCTCGTTGTAGTTCGACACGTCGGGACAACGGTCGGGGAATCTCTAACGTACTGCAGAACGTCCGCAGTTCAGCGTTCATGCGTGCTATATCTTCAAAAACGATGGGCTCGCATGAAAGCCCTCCCAGACTCCATGATCACTGCCACGACCTGAACAGAACTTAATTAGATGTTATCAGAATAATGGAAATTTTACAACTTACTCCTTCTAGTCTGCTACTGTGATGAAATATACGAATTCCAACAATGTCGCACTGATTCGAATAATAAATGAACAATACACTCACATGTTGTAGGAATATGAAGAAATAACGAAGGAACGAAAATGAAATCTGAAAAAAAACCAGTTGGGAATGTCGCGTTTCGTCGATCGCGCCGTTGCTGTGATGAAATACACGGGTTCCAACAATGTCGCACTGATTCGAATAATAAATGAACAATACACTCACATGTTGTAGGAATATGAAGAAATAGTGAAGGAACGAAAATGAAATCTGAGAAAAAACCAGTTCGGAATGTTGCGTTTCGTCGATCGATCGCGCCGTTGCTGTGATGAAATATCATCATCATTTTTACGGGCCTTTTTGCGGAGGTCCGGTGCGTTTGCAGACTTTACTCTTCACTGACGGCTTTTAGTAATGACGCTCCGGTGACAAAACCGCGTTGCAACCGCGCGCTCGTAAAGGCCGGATGCTCAAGTGCAAGTCTGTAGTTTACCTTACGTCCAACAAGAGCTAGCTGCGACTGATTCAATGCCATATGTCTTCGATCAAGAAAATTACACCAGATTGTGTGAGGTGTGGAAATGAAAAGTCATTCATCTTATGATTCCTCCAGTCGTCATCGCACATAGCTAGTGAATCGGATATAATGGAGTGTGATTGAGAATAAGGGACCGAGTTGTTTCTCATGAGCAGCGTCTTCGCCTGGGGGTGGGAGGACCACTTTGTACTTTCGCTTCCCATTCTCGTGTTTATTGCATTACAGGAGTTGGCAGGTGATCTTTACAAGAGTTGACTGTTCTACAAACTAAAGGTACCACTCATGGCTTCTTAAGATTTCGAGGTCGGCCTTACTTGATGGTTCGGAGCAGAACAGAGGGCTAGCGAAGGTTGCAAAAGGCGCGCCCACCCTCTAAGGCTAAGCTGTGGGCGCGGACCATATTTTCTGCTCGTTTTGTCGAAATCAGCTAATGTTTACTGCACTAATTCGATGAGGAGAGTTGTGAGTGATGGAGAAGACACTGTACGTTGACCTTCGCTCCCGTCGCATTCCGGTTCTCCACTTCGACTGTCCTCCGAATGGTGTTGAAGTGGTTATGCATCTTCAAGGAACAACAAACATCTGGTTGAAAGTTGTTTGTTTCGATGTGCCATCGACGAAAGTCGTGAGCTGAGCATCAGGGAAGGAAAAAGGGTCGTCTATAACGTGAGCGAGACTAGCAGTGCTAGAAGATCCGAACAAATAGTGACATAATGAGGTCAGAAGAAACGATACATATGTGAGGCAGTGCTAAATGTCGTCAAACTTGCGTGAATTGTTCATACTTTGCAGCAGCGTTTTGGGCGTCTGTCAGCGTTGAACGTTTCGAGCAACTAGGAGAATGCAGGTATCCATCTAGCGTTTTGGGTGTCCGCAAACCTTCTGAGCGCTTTGAGCTATTAAGAACTACAGGTACTGACATCGCTGAAAACGCTGGAGGACACTGGTCGCTCGAAACCCTAAAAACCCTCATAGCGCTGACCGACGCTCGAAACGTGCCGCAACGTATGAAAGAAAAAATGGAAGAAAAAGATAAAAGAGCGAGGCTTTTGTGGGTTATGTGACAGTGCCAAATGAGGCACCTGCAATAGCAACCTGAAACATCGGGCTTCTTGACCTTCGAAAATATTCAGTTTTACTCATGTTGTTTTATTGCCCTTCTGTTTACTTCTCTATAAGATGGTCCGAGCTTAGACAGTGTGAATTTTCGGCCATTCTATATGTTTTGCATGGAGGGTTGAAGGCCTTCCTGACCCCAATTTTTTTTATAATGCCCGTATCAACGTTTCGTTTTATGGGCGGAGACGGGCAGTCGCTGTGACCTGATCCAGCCAGGTGCTGCTTCGTTATTTTTTCAGAAGGAGGGCGCGCTCATGAGGAAGGCGAAATGGTTGACTGTCTCCGCCCACAATGCGCCTTTAAATAACGACTGAGAACGCTTTTTTTCAGCCTCGGTAGCTCTGGTGAAGTCTCGCGACTTACATTGGGGACTCCTAGCGACAAGAGATCACAAGGACGTCAACCTCTCATCACTGCGATCCCTTCTAGTCGCAGATGGTGCGAATCCATGGTCACTGTCATCGTGCGATCAACAATTTGCGGCCCACATCGCAGCTCAATCGGATTGCGAGGCAGAAGGCTATGTGTCCGGCATGTTCGGGTAGGCTCTGAAAACGGAACAATATCACTGAGAAAGTAGGTTTCTTTTTCAAATTCTGACATTTTCCTCTTCTATGCTTGCTGTGATTCAGGCGATCGGCTAGTGGAAGTGGAAGCAGTGGACGAGGAATCCTGTCAATGGCCGCGCTAAGTCATTCTGTAGTTCGTGTTGACAAGGAGAACTCATTGACAAGCCTCACTCTTCAGGTGGGATATAAAATGTAATGTTGTTTGAGCATCGAACAGGATTTTCTTTCTCAGGATGCTGGTCAAGTAATTCCTGGTGGCTCCGTTGTCGTAGTCAAGCAAACGGGCCCCGCTCGTCTTTGTCGAGCAGATGAACTGGGAGAGATCTGTCTGTGCGCTAACTCGACTGGAAATGCGTACTGGGGTCTGGAAGGGGTATCTGCAGCGACATTCAAGGTAGTTTTCACCATGTTTTTTTTTGTTTGATGAATCATGGATATTGTCTTTATGCTCAGATTGAGCCATTGGGTGCAGATGATAGGCCTCTTGGTCCTCGACGATATGTACGAAGTGGTTTGATCGGCTTCATGGGCCCGGTACGTTGGCATTTACTGGTATTAGATCCGCATATACCCAAGTTCGCTGCGGACGAAGGGGCGTGTCAGGCAATAGTGTGCCACGGCGCCAAACCAGTTCACAGGCAATGTGGAAGCTGGTATGCGACAACGATTGATACAAGCAATATGATGCAGCTCGCTTTGAAAACTGGCAGAAAACGCGTTTGGCCACCCCCCCCCCCAGTTCGTCACGCCTGACTCGCCCCTTCGTCCTCGCGAACTAAACTATACAATAGCTTTGTTGTGTGTTTAGTTCTTTAGTCTACATTGTTTTGAAGGATTGTTTGTAGGATGGTCTTGTATTCGTTGTTGGGCGGCGTACTGCGCAGTTGAGTGTATCCGGTCGCCAACATTCAGCGGATGATATAATTGGTGAGACTTTCTTTCGATGATTATCAACTCTTTAAGCTGCGTTTATACTTTGCGCCAGCGTTTTGAGCGTAGGGCAGCGTTTTCAGTTTATGCAAAAATACATCAGCGTTTTACTCCTTTTGCGGGAAGTTTTAACCTTTCCGCGCGCTGAAAGCGCTGGATTGATGCTTATGCTTTCCTAGTTGCTTAAAAAAACACTCAAGACGCTGGCATCCTTTCGAAGAAATGCTGCCGTACGCTTGAAATGCTGACGCAAAGTATTAACGCAGCCTTATTTTCTTGAATATTGATTATGTTCACAAAAGAGGTCTGGAACTGTTCCAAAGTTTATCCCTAGTTGTTTTCTGAAAACTCTTTCTTGACAGAAATCTGGTAACTCTCGCTTTTCAGCGACTGTTCTCGCCGTTGAACCCATGCGGTTCGTATATCGCGGACGAATCGCCGTATTCTCCGTGTCAGTACTTCGCGACGAGCGGATAGTGATTGTTGCCGAACAGAAACCTGGTGCTAGTGAGGAGGATGCGTTTACGGTAAGTTCCAATTTTCCTTCGTGCAAGGTGTTGTAAAGTCAAAATCAATCTTTTAGTGGATGTCTCGGGTATTACAAGCAGTTGACGCTATTCATCAAGTTGGTATCTATTGCCTTGCACTTGTACCATCGAATCAATTACCAAA